TGGATAGTAAACAGGTTTATTTTGACATCGGGGATGATGAACACATCTGTGTTCTGGATTGTAACAAGAGTTGTCCATAGATTTGCATGCAACTAATTCCGAACAGTCGATAAATCGATCGAGACTAATATCTACGTTAATGGCGCCAGCGTCATAAAAGCAGGCACATGCGCTATTTGTTGAACATCGATCATACTGTGATATTCCACGACAGTATTGAGATTTGACTCGAACTATTGATAGACTAAATAGAAAGTAGAATGCAATAGACAAAATGAGAAAAATAAAATCATTCGCAGGCTTAAAAGAAAAAGAAAACACTTGACCTTCGACAGTTACGAAAATGAAAAGATAGCAAGATTACCTCAATAGAATGATGAAAAGTGAATTAAATACTATTGAAACCATCGCTTCTATTAAAATGAAATAGAATGTCAACGATATTTGCTTTTATATATGATACTTAGATACGAATATTTCAATTTATAGAAATTAAATATCCTTACAAAGTTTAAATGCTTTGCTTTTCTCTACAGAAAAATAATCTTGAACAAAAGATCATACGAAAAAAATGAGGGTGTGGGTGTGGATGCAGAGATATTACACACTCAAATCCGGCCACACCCACATCCAAAATGTGTTTTTGGGACTAATGAGCGTTTAAACGGTTATAAAGCCAATTTCTGAGGCGCTTAAACGTCGGCGAATATAGAACAGAAAAAACCGCACGTTTTCACTGATGGAATTTTAGAACCCTGAACGTTTACATGCGTTTTTGGAAAGTTTGGTCTGCTTGGGCCGTTGCCAGTTGGTTTCGTGAAGAATCAACATGGGGCAGCAATTTCGTGGTTGGGATTTTTCACAACTAACGTCCAGTGGACGAATATCATTTAACAGGTCTGAAGAACAACTTGGTTAGGATTATACAAAGATTATTTGTCAAACAGTCGAAAAACTTGCAGATTCAGACGATGAGAACAAGAGCAATGAAATTTATTTGCTTGATTTAGGTACAGGTGATGGTGACTATTTGAAAGAAATGCTACCAAAATTTCCGGCTAAGGGGAAAAGTTGACGGCATACGCGACAGAATCTTATGAGCCTAATTTTCTATTAGCTAAACAATGTTTGATACCTTACGGCATGACTGTTATTCCAAGTGAATCCGATAGTCTGAATAGTCTGTTACCGTTTACTGACGATGAGCCCAAACTTGACTTGATCATCTCCCGTCACACATGTTTCAATGTTCGTAAAGTTGATCCTCTCCTTAAATACGGAACTGGAAGCTTTATAATAGAACAAGTCGGTGGAGCATCTGAACAAGATTTGATTGAATTATTTGATCATCAATCGAAATGGCCATGTTTTACTCCTTCCTTTGCTTCTCTAACACTGAAAACACAAGCATGACACATGAGATTGATTAGAATACAAGAATCGGAAACAAAATTGGTGTTTGAAGATATTGGTGCGGTGGTGATTTATTTGCATGCTGTACTGTAGTTGGTAGAAGATTTCAGTATGGAAGAATATCAAGATGTTCTATTGAAATTATATCATAACGCACAAAAAGAACTGTATTTACTAGTAAATATATGCTGTTAAAGGCAATTAAACTAGCAGATCTACTGCGTATATGTTTCTGGTCTATTTTATAATAAAAGAAACATACACTGCAAATAAAAAATACTTCTCTATTGAATTCAGTACCATAATATTTCAGAGAAACAGAGAAACGAATAAAACAGTATTCAAACATCCTTAGTCTCAACTGATAAACATCGCGTTCTTATGGACATATTAAACATTTTTAACAGTTTGCAGAATTTTAGTTTTAATTTGTTAAAACAGTCCGATATGGATTGCTTCTCTTGCGATTCGAAATGTTAATTAGAGTTTACAACCATGTAGTTGAGTATAGAAAAATTCAATAAGCAAATTGAGTCAGAACTTCTGGCTCATTCTTTATATTTAAAAAAAAAACAGAAATCGAATATTTATCATAATCGAATGCCAAATGTTGGTTCTATTGCGATAGATGGGATTTAGAACAGATGTTCCATTTGTGATAAAATCCAATTCAAATTTCGTTGCAATAGAAAAACAAGAAAAAGCAATGATGTCGATAAGACGTATTGTGATACTGATTTTTTTCTTCTGTATTGTTCAAGCACGAATATCGCCGGATTATGATTTGCCTATTTACAGTGTCACTGGTTGTATACCGGGTAAATTTCATACCTGCAATATTATCGACATATTTGTATTAACTGACGAGGCGACAATTCTATCGATAGTTAATATTAATAATGGTGGTCCATGGAGTTTACCTACATCATATTTGGAATTGATGAATCGAAATGGATCAACCGTACAATTCAGTACATCAATTATTGGTGATGTGACTGGTCGTTGTAATTTCGGAGCTAAATTCATTCCATATTATAACAACAGTCAAGGTAAAGAGGATATTTGTCTCAAATAATCTCTTTTGTTTGTTTTTTTTTTCATTTTAGGCAATGCCGTTGTTCTCATGTGTTCATCATTTACTTTTCCTGGTGGTGATACTGCCTTTTTTAGACTAAAAATTGATCCGTTAACATCGAATATCACTGCTATTGGCAATCCATTAATATTTCATTCCGAAAATTCATTCGCAGGATTCTCGTCTCAACCAGCAACAAACAATAACGACGTGTACTTTCTTTTAAATTCTTATCCATCCGGTTCCAACAATTATTCTGTCGGTCATTTGAATTTGATTGATTTTACATTTGAAACATGGCCAGTAGTACATTCATTAAATTCGTCCATATTTCTAGATCCACAAACGGGTACCTTTAACAATGTTGCTCAAATAGACAAATTACTTTTTTCTGTTCCTTGTTCATCTCAAGATCTATCCACTTCTATATCTGAAATGCTATGTACTTACAAATATTCGAATGAAAAACAATTCATTCTTATCGGAATGAATTCAATTCCAAATGCAAGTAGTAATCGAAATTTGTATTTGTATTCACCAGAAGAACAACAATGGGGTTTGACGATTACAAGTGATCCAGTCACTTGGTCAGTTTTGATTATGAACACACAATTTACATTACCAACTAATTCTTCTCGTGATCTCATTTATGGAGCAATATTAAATGATACTGATGTTATTTTAACATATACCATGTCGGCTAGTATTTCACAAGTGAGAAATCGTTGTTTCTATCTAGCTACAGTACATAGTCGAAAAAATGCACTCGTCGTACAACAATTGAAATTTGGAAAAGATTTTAAACGAACACCGACGATACTTGTCGATTCAACTATAATAGCAGAAGTGGCTACCAACTTCGCGTCCACAATCGTATTTGCAACTAAAAACTATGTATTTGTTTTGAATGGGTTGAATATTTATCGATATATTGTTGAATGTTGATGTTGATATTAGCTTGAATAACAAAATACATGAGATCACTGCATGATTTATCAATGCAATAGTAATTTTTGTATAAGTTATTCATCATGCATGCACCTTACTAACTACAAGGATTATCATAGGATTGGCCAATCCATACTTCGTATAGACGCTATTTTCATACAATACCTTCGAGAGAGGTATTGGAATGTGATGATGATCTGATATTTGTAGACTATGAAATAGATGCTACGAGAAAGAAAGAATTAAAACGTTCAACAATTTTTTGATCTCTTGAACAGTTTCATATAAGAATAATCACTTGAAAGATTAACGTTAATCAACAGATTTCTTATGTATGTAGAAAGACAGGATGAGCAGAATTAGCTTGGATTATCGTTATTCTCATGAGAATTGCTTTCTATCGACTGGAATTTTGATTCTCAGATAGATAATGTTATTTAATTAGTTTAAACATGACATATACGCTCAAAAATTTTACGAATTTTTCTTTTCTCTAGCAACAATCAATACAGATATCACATACTGGGCAAAAGATGAACAAATCCAACGGTTTCTCTACATTACTTATCGGCAATTTCTCATATAATGTGAAAAATTTAAACAAAATTTAGTTGTCTAGATTGATCTATCTCTAAAAATCACTGAACAACTAAAGTCTGTCAATCAATCTACAAATGAAAACTATTTAAAATAAGAATCAAGTATTCTTTTAAGTTAGTGTAGCTTTTAATGCATTATGACACTGATAAATGTAACTTATTATCAATTCGACAATTTTGAATATAAATATACAATCTTCTTGAATTGAATGCTCTTAGTAGAGGTTAGCTGTTTTATTTCATTAATAGATGGTCATTCGTATAATAATCTTGTATCTCAAACAATAAACAAGACAATATCACAGACCATATTCTTTTACTTCTATTTGGATAGCACTTTTCTACTTCAAAAATTGGCTCTATTTCACTTTTTTTCTTTTCAAACGAAGCGTATATTCCAGTGTTATTTTCATGCTTTTTATATCTAATCGTTTTCTTTCATTAAACCAATAGCAACAATACGAAATGAATGAATGTTTATCCGAATAACGTGAGAGAGAAATAAGCTAGACAGTCGTTAATTTACACCTTCAAATGATTTATAAGATACCTATCCAATGCAACCATTTTTTGTACCACTAGAAATGTAGATTATTCATCTTCAGACTGTTACTGTGTATAGTGCTGATTATACGTTTTATGAATATGAAGAAAAGAAGGCGTTTCGAAATTGCAATCAGTTCTTTACGAAAAAGAAAAAAAGCAATGGCTACTGATGAATGAAAGAGAGAAAGAAAATGACAAAAAATGCGCAGATTTCTATACAGCGTCATGAGAGTAAGCACCCCATTTGTTTAATGTATGTATATATATATAATTTTACAAACGATAATTGTCTCACATGCAAATAAACACACGCACACGTAATGTCTTTACTCAATGTAATCATATCTTTACTGATAGTCTCGACTTATAGTAAGTTGTGATAAGACAAGAAATTTTCTCCTCAACCTCTAACTGAATAGATGCGAATTTCAGTGATTGATGGTCGAGCACTCCGTAAACGACGTCAAGGACTACAGTCAAGTGCCTATTCTGCAATAAATAATATTCGCAACATTAATCCAAACACAGGTTATGCACAAAATTTTATAGGACCAGGTACGAAAAAACCTTATAATGAAATATATGCAAAGCTCAAAAATGAAATTTTGAAGAATGATACGTATAACGGTTGTGATTTATTCTTCCGTATATCTATGAAAGAAATAAAACAATGGAAAAAAAGAGAGAAAGTTGAGTCAAGAATGACTGATGAACGATATACGAAGATAATGCAGAGAGTGATGAGTATATAATTGATGAATATGTCACAATACGAACATTTTTAAAACAATCTGTTTCTTCTTTTAATAATTTAACTTTCTGTCTAGGACGTAATTGGTATCCAATAGGTAATCGTTGGTTCAGACAAGATAATCCGCCATATCCATATAATAACCGTAAATATCGAGTAGAAACTTTTTGCTAATCTAAAAATAGTATCTGTTTCATAGAATTCGGCTACAATGCACCACCACTTCCATATGGCTATCCCAGTTGGTTAGGCACTTCTACCGCCTTGGAATATGGAGCTCCGTGGCTTTCTCAGCACGATTCGTATGTGCTTACGGCTTATAGTGGTCAATCTTTCGTTCCACCCTCAAGTGATTATTATTTTATGCCGTTGCCCGGTACTAATCGTCATCGACAATGAAAGAAAAAACTTACCGTCCTTGACATGATTTATAATTGCGTTCTTTCTATAAGCAAATAAACATGCAACGATAATCGAGTGCAAACATTTTCTTCCATCCGAGACCTTGTTTTATTGACTTATATTATAAATCATTGAGTTTGAATTATATTGATATTAGTGGATTGCAATTGAGTTGTTCTATTGTGAATAAAAAATCAAATTTATTCAAATGAAAATCTGACACAACCATTTAAAGAATCATCGTTCCATATGAAGTAAAAGCTCTTAGATTTTCTATTTGGAAGAGCAAAAGAAAAGAAAACACTAAATATCATCGATTCATATATTGCCACTGATGCAAATAAAGTTTTCGTTCTCTCGTTGTCGTGTAATATATGTAAGTGGAAAGCGACCGTTCAAAGCAATTATACTGAATAAAATCACTGTACTTTTCTATTATATCTAATTAGGGTTAACAATTCTACTATCATAGAAGAATTGAATATGTTCTTCATTTTTTAGCACTCGATGTGGTACAATTTGAACTATGCTAACATGTGTGTTCACCAAAATTTTGTTTAAGAAAATGGAAAACGTTCCAGTACGTACAAGGATACAAGTAATTGGATCCAATTTGTCGCCGTCTCGATGATCTTTGTAGATGTGATTTGCTTCACAAAGTTGTTGTTCAATTTCAGACATAATTTCATTATTTTGTAGTATTTTTTGTTGTTGATTAATTACTTTATTGTCATGTTGAGAGTTTTCGTGAACCAATTCTAAAAACATAACATATCGAGCTGGAAATGCATCTAGTTTCGGATATAGTATAAAATCATTGATATCGACATATATGCCGTGTTGTTTCCATTTCTGAACAGTTTGTCGAAGAGTAATCATCACATGTTGTTCAGTTGTATTTTCTCCACTTATACTAAGAAGATTTCCAGTACGATATGCAATCGAAATAAGAGGTATTCGAGGTATCTCTGTTTTTTTAAATGCTAATAGAACAGCATCATCTGCTTCGGAAAGAAATCTTGTACAAGTATCTACATCTCCTATTCGGTATCGAATTAATACAGAATCGGTGATGCAAACCAATTCATATCGATGTCCTGATGTAATCTCTGAGATCAGGAGAGTTTTCGATTGAACCTGAAGAATAGTAAAAAACACATTATAGGATTAATTGAAAACTTTGATACTGATTTGTCATACCTACATTGACTAGGTAGATAGAAAGAAAAGAAAAACATATACGTGATGCATGTCTTCTTCTTTGATTAATTCAACAAATGCCGTTGTTGGTGATAGAAAATATTCAGCTGTATGAACACTGGCTAGACTTGTAAAGTCACCTTCACTTGTACCATAGCCAGAGAAATTAATTAAATATAATTTTTCTCCACAGTAAAATTTTATCTCTTTCTTGTACAGAGAAAATGAATCTCCTATTGTTGTAGATACCCAAACTAGCTGTGGCCAAAGACGATGGAGTAATCCAAGTGTATTTATTTTGAGAGATTCCCTCCGAATGTGATGAACTCGTTCCGTTCGATACGATAATCCACCATATTCTAAAGTTGTATTTTCTAGTGCTTGATTCAACATATTTCGAAAGTTGATATCATGAATATTCTTACGGACAAGTGAACTGTGATGGAAATTAATGGAAGAAATGCAAAGACACATTTCTTCAAAATGATTTTCGATCAGTTTTACTGTATGAAAAAACGCAGGCGCATATGTTACTGAATAAGAGAGAATATCAGGAACTGTTAATGCAAAATCGAGTTGTACAAATGCAGTTGTCTCAAAATCGGAAATGCCTTCAATCAGCTGACAATCAATAACATTGTTTGACGAGGCTAGCATTTTGACGAAGGGGAACAGTGAAATAACTGATATGTATTGATATATTGGACCAATTGGTGTGCCATCTTTCGACCTTAAAAACATGTTAGATCTTTTTCCTGTTTGTAAACTAAATAGTCTTTGATGAGCGGCAGGAAATAATGATTCAGGAAATGATCGCCAAATGGCAGCTTGTCCAAGACGTACCAGCATCATTATTCGTTTTGCCATAGCTGAAGTTACAGGAAGAAGCTTCATCTTTCCAGTAGTTCCAGAGCTGGTAGCAAAATAAATAATTTTATTTGAAGGGAGCACATGTTTCTCTCCATTGTTAACCATTCAGTCGATATATTCACGATAATTCTCATACATGGTTAAAGAAAATGTTTGTCGAAATTCATTAATGAATAAATGTTCTTCTCCACTAGAAGCTCAAGAAGAATAGAATGAAGACAAAAATGGTGATGAACTGTTGTTCTTGAGGATGTTTCTCAATTCATCATTATTAACCTTTTGTAGATTACAAAATGAATTCTAATAGTAAGATACAAATGTATCTTTATCTCCTAGTCGATTGTATTGTTCCAATAATTGTTTACGAATTTGCATTCGAATAACTCTTTTGAATATATATCGAAGATATAGTGCATAAAAAATCAGTATAATATCAAGAGTAGCAGCAATGCTACTAAAAACCAACGAAAACAATAGATTGAAACGATCCTGTTGAAATAAAATATCGTGTATGCTTGATAATATTAATATCATGGTTTGAAAAATAGAAGTGAAAGAGTTTTTAATATTGTTGAAAAACACCTTATCTTATCAACCCAGAATGAGATATATGGAGTGCGTATACTAAGAAATACGACACAAAGATTTACAATCGTAATATCAATTCGGGTATTTAGTTGTATTTTTCCATTTATGATCGTGCTTGTTTGATCCGAGTGTATGCTATCCTAGATTATGTAGAACTTGATATTTTTTTTTTAGAACATTTGTTTAGCCTAAATATAGGTGTCACTATACTTGCCACGGCATGTGCTTCAATCAGAAATCACGTCTACATGTATAGAAGTCATTGGTCGCAATCACATCTATTTTTGGGTGAGGGTGTGGGCATAACCTCATATGATTTTTTTTCCAAATAGATTTCCACATAATAAGATTTTTTCTTATTCAATCTTTCTGAACCTTTCAATTAGGAATTGATGTCTATTGTATGAGTTTTTCTCATATTGCCCTTCTTTTTCATGTTTACAATTTTCCATTACTTAGTTTTTAAAATTAGACATTCTCAAAAGCATAAATGATAAAATAAAGTCAGACCGATAAATTTTTTCCTATGAAAAAAAGTCTACTAGCAGTAAAATTTCGTTTTTAATACATACCGATTTTTACTGAAATGAAAACATCTGGTTTTAAATCTTCTATCAGCAGTAAATTCAAAGAAAAGAGAATGTTTCACGCATTTAGAGAATGAAGTTTATTATAACAAGTCAAAGACTGATGTTTTTTTTGTTTCAGTCATTTTAATTTTCCTAAAGATTTTTTATTGGGCTGATCTTTTAATTTTCTGTATAATATTTGTATGGCCATGAACCATTTGTTTTGAATGCGCTTAATATATCTAACGAGGCAAACAATATCAACTGATGGTTACTGCTTGACTTTGTTATTCAAAATTTTTACGAAGACTTCAAGCTTGAAATGCAAACAATCTAGTTACCATAATCGAAATGATCTTTTACAGAATGATGGTAACGGTAGCAAGTTCGAATATTTTCCTCATTCAGATTCCTAAACATTGAATATATAAGCAGTATTCGGTATTTAGATCTGCAAATTCGAGTTTCTTCTTTACATTTGTAACAAAATGAATTCATTTTGTAAAGATAAAGAATATGAAAATTTCGATTTCTCAGAAAAATAGATTTAGTCGGTTGGAGTGATTCGGATCAGGGACCGAAATTGAACCCGTAAAAGTCAGTTCAATTCGACCTCTATTTTATCAAAAAATCATATACACAATGATTGAAACGAAGTTAATATAGAACTTTAATACTATTTCGAAAAGTGAATGCTTTTGATTTTGTGAATTCATCGATGTGTCGGAGGATGTCTTTGAATGTAGGAAAACAAAAATTATTTTGGGCGTATTCCCTATACCTCAATTCCACACGCTTATCTCTGGGGACATCTGTACCTATGAATTTTTTCAACAAATGAAACTGTAATTGGCTTGTTTTCGTATATTATTCAACATATCGATATGCTTTCTTTCTAATCCGTTTACATATGAAATCGTCATTACTACTGGATCTTTATTGCATCACCTACGACAAGTAAATAAGTGATCTTCATCCTTACTTTCTGTGTGTTGATACTATATTTAGATTCTCCAACAAGTCGTTAAATGTGCACTGATCAGTACAACGATAATCATAGTTTCGAAAAGTGTTATATTGTCGACTCATTGTGTAAACCATATTATCATCGTACTAAGGTTTGCCTCTAATTAACCAATTAAATTCAAAAGCATGTGCTATGGTAGATGATCGTGATCTTTATTCGTCATGGCGATTTTGGCTTGAACGGAAAGATCTTATTGGTAAAATACAAGGGTCAGTTAATAATTTTTTATCTCTCGTTTTCATTTGTCCTAATACCTATGTAGATATATTTCATTCATTGGTATGTTAATCATTTTTATCGACGATCTCTGTTTGCTGAACTATGCTACTTGGTTAGCGATAGGCTTCATTTTATTATCATATTGTCGAAATGAAACACTGAATTATTCAAGAACAAAACAATTATCTCTCGACATTTATATATGTTCCATGACTATTCGCATCGTTGCAATACACATCTCAGGAATACTATTTAATATAGCAATAAAGATTTTAGAGAAATACTAGTATTCTCTTGCTTATTGAGAGCGCGTGATGTTCATGATGTTGATTATAATGCTACTTTTTCATTTTCTTTATTGGTGTTATCGATAGAACCCGTCGAGTCCGGAAATCTTGAACTCATCTAATTCCGAAAGATATTATTTTGATTTGCCACGTAGTTAAAACCAAAGAGTTATACTGTATGCGCTTCTATCAAAGTTGTAGTTTTCTGGATAGAATAAACCACTTTTACGTTGTTCTTCAAACAAATGATACACTCTATCTGATTCCGAAATTCTTTCAGTTTTATGTACGAAATATTGAGAATTAATGTGGAGATAGATCAGACTCTTGAAAAATTTTTGCGCATGATCAACTGCAGTATCAAATTTCAATCCATCTTCAAGCTCAAAACACCCATGATATTGAGTGTCAACCAGACTGAGATATTGCAAATTCGGTAAAACCTGTATTAATTCTCTTAAGAAAGAATTATCCATTCGACACCTACATTCCAACTTTTTAATTCTCTTCAGTTGTTGTAGATCGCACTGTTTAAGACATTCTATAATTCTCGGTGAGTCCACTTCTTCTAAATTTAAACAATCCAAGTTTTTAGATATTACTAATAATCTGCTTAATATATCGCCGTCCTGGCACTGGAAACATCTTAAGGTTCTCAGGTTTGGTAGCTTCATTGAATAATCAAATCCTGGAAACTTACGTACCCAATATACTTGGAGACAAGTTGCATTTTGTAATTTATGCATTGTGGATGGAGTCTTATAACAACCGTAGATCCTTGAGTAATTGCAAAACTTGCTAAAAGTAGGTAATTTCATCGTGTTATCCAAATTACTAGACGAATGTTCATGAATACGATCTGAATCTACACATATCGAGTAGTAAAATGACTCAAGTTTGGGAAAGAGAGCATCTTTTAACAACTGCAAGTTTACAGAATCTACGAATGTATTTGAAACGATCAATGTCAATGACTGTAATTGACATTGACTAAAAAAGGATAAAAACAATTGAATAGTTTCCAATTTTTGTACATTTTGTTCACCATCACAAGAGTTTCCACATTCGAGATAAAAATGTCGAAGCGAGGAAGGAATAGAGAGTTGATATTTATCATCGTATGTAAACTGCTGATTTTCCAATGTTGTTATGGATAAATTTAACTCTTCAAGGTTAATCATTGCCTCTAGGATATATTTAAAACTCGAGAAAGTGTGTAAATGTATTGCTAAGGACTTGATTGAAGGAAGTAGACCAATCGAATCATTATTACTCAAATACATCGGTCTCACATCGATCATTGTTAAATATTTTAAGCTTGATAATGTACTCAACGTTTCCAAGAAGCGTTCAATTCTTACATTCATTTGATCTTTAAAAGGTCTTGGTTTGATTATTAACTGTTGTATGAAACATAAATGCTCTAGTGAATAAAGTCGTATCAGGTGTTCAACTCCTTCTAATGTGAGTGAGTGAATAAGATGTCCATTGATGGGAAGAATATAATCACGGAATAACTTGAAATGTTTGTAAGAAATATTACTCAGATCTATTTCATTGCAATAAGGTGCGATTATTCTTTGAAAACGAGCGTTTAATAAAGAAAATCCATAGAGAAGATCGAATACGTTCAAGTATTGAAAGACTGACAGCAATATTTCGTCCGGTAGTTGCTCCATGGTGTTCTTATGAGAGTATTTGATGAAATTTGCCTATATAAATACCATGTGGAGAACGAAATAATGGAATTATTGATGCATTTCTCAATCTGACGTCACATGATGTAAACTATGTACGCTCTACCAATAAATTTTTATTAAAATGATGTCGCCA